GTGATTGGCTCGCTTCTCATGGCCCAAAATATAACATGTTATACAGAATAAACCATGTATCTTTATTGAGGTATCTTGATCATAAAGATACTGTCTTATAAAAAGTTATTTCGGATTTGTCTATTCATAGAACGCAGTATACTAGATAAACGAAAATAATGCTAGATGGACGACAAAAATATTGGAATACTTGTCTTGATAATATTAAGATCATGTCATTATATAAGAAGAATAGTGTATCTTATATGTATTTATATACTTTATCGACGTTACTGTATTTCAGTTCATAAATTTATACTACTTTCTGAAATTGTCGACACATTTATTTTTAAATTTTGAATAGAATACTTATAAATGCACTCAAATACCATACAGATAAAATATAAATCTATTTTGTGGGAAAGAACATTTAGTTTCGAGGTAAGATTAATGTTTATGATGATAATCGTCTCTCATTTGTTGAATAAAATCAACAAAAATAAAAAGGTGTACGTCTTGCTATTGATAGAACAGTAATAGATGTAACTAACAACTAGCAAAGATAATGAATTGCATATTGAAAATAAAAGATTATTTGCAATTTTTATGCAAGTTACGTATATAAATTTATATATGCACTTCAAAAAATCTTGAGGCAGTAGATGTGAGTGCCTGTAGGTATGGGTATTCTGTTCCATCCACACCCATCATGAGCAATATGTACGACTACGGAAATCATTTCTTACATAGGTGGATATTGCGTCCCCTTGAATATACTAACTGCATAGTCTGTAATCAATGACTTTCATTAGGATTACCGCTACGAAACGCCTAGAAACTGTAGTCGCTGTATTTCTTGAAATATTACAAACACATCCTATTGTATTTGTGCAATATCTGATTTTTGAAAGAATTTCAAGAAAATTTTGATACTTTCTATATACTTTATTCAAATCTTATGGAAATGTCGAATACTACCTGCTGAGACTCCTCGCCGAGTTTAAACGAGTTGTAGTAGCTATGAAATGACGGCACACTCACACCCTATCAAAATATGTAGTATTATGCTTTCAATTCATATATTAGTTATGTAAACGTATACACTTCCATGATCAATACAAACGAAGCAACTTAGTCAAATAAAATTAGTGAAAATACGTTTTCCTAGTATATCAGTTTACTTTAGCTTGGTTATGGCGCAGTTGTGTCACATATATTATATCAAAAAATAATTACTCCAACGTTTTAATTCCAGTTTCACGTAACGCTATAGAGTTCTTCCGGAACTTTGTCTGCTGATTTTTAAAAGCATTTACCAAAGTTTCCTTCAGTCTCTTCGACGGCACGGATATTTCCGACACTTCATTCATATGATAAATCATAATTTTCTCTTCGACGATCGTCACAGCAATTCCTTGCAGTAACGCAGCATATGTAACAATTGGAAGCCAAGCGTCATTCTCCGTCTCCAAATATAGTTTGATCAACTGATTCGACGGTAAAATATTCAACTTGATTTTACCGAATTCCCTGATACCTATATACAGTTCGAGTAACGTCTGCGGAACTAACTCTTTCATGGTCGAATAAGAACACATGACTCGCTCAAGAGCTTCACCTGCAGATTCTCTGACGCCGATATATTCATCCCGAAGTGCATTGATGAGAGTAGAGATCACCGCATCCGTTGCTGCTTCTTCACCCATCGCTCCTACAGCTACACACACCCATTGTGTGACATAGCAGTTTTCACCCCGAAGTGTATTGACGAGAGAAGAGATCACCTCATTCGTTGCTGCTTTTTCACCCATCGTTCCCAGAGCTTC